AATTTTACTTTTACTTTCTTCTCCTACCTAACTTAAACTTAACTACTTACTTACTTTTCTTTTTGTTTCGTCTCCTCCTTCTCCTCTCCTCTCTCTCTCTCTCTCTCTCTCTCTCTCTCTCTCTCTCCTTCCCTCCTACATACATGCAAGGATATAAAAGTAGGTAACTTCTTTTTAAGTATGATGACACCTCGTCTTCTAGGTACCTCTTTTTTAGTGGTGTCGCCTCGTCTTCTCTCGCTATCTCTCTCTCTCTCTCTCTTCATGAGACACTTATTCTATCCCATATTTCTCTTCCCTTCCCGCATATCTCTCTCCCATGTTTCTCCTTCCCACTTTTCTCTCCCCCTCTCAAAATTTTCTTCCCAACATTTCTTTCTTTCTCTCTCTCACATGCATGTTGTAACTCTATCTCCTTTCTCATGCACTTCACACCTCTTTATCTCTCTCTTTCTCAAGAAGGGTTGTAGAGATAATCATATTTAAATGGTGTCCATTGATAATGCATTCCTCTTTTTCTCTCTCTCTCAAAACTTTTCTATGCTTCACACACGACAAATGCAATTGTGTTATTTCTATCCAAGGTGATCATGCTTTTTTCTTCTGCACAAGTATGTTGATTTTCATTTTCTTTTGTTATTGTATATTGTTTGAATTTTTGTTTTTCCCCCTCTTCTTTTTTTTTTGTTAGTTTTTCATTTCCATGAACCTATAGATGAATGGAAGAAGCAAGAAAGGTGTATATAGCAGCCTTGACTACTTTGAGAGAGAACTCATATGAGTCTTCATTTGGCAACTCATTGGAGATTAGAGTTACACAAGTTTCTCTTCCCAAAAAAGCACCTTAAATCTCAAAATCATGATTGGGGTGTATCGTATTAAGAAAGCACCTAGATATATGCTTACTAAACCTTCTATCCTCTTATATGAGATAAAACAAAAATGGATATCTCTAAAAATAATTTGTGTTTGTGGCTTGGCAGGGGTCATATTCATTAATCTTGATAGTGTTCCTGTTGATTGTACATATATTATGTTTTTATCATCATCATCATCATCATTAAATATTATTATTTTTTCTTCTATTTCTTTTTTAAGTTAGGTACATGAAACTATGTGATTTACATAACTTCTTTAATTTAATCTTATTACCATATTTTTTACTATATTTTTATGGTATTAAATGATTTTAATTTAATTGGATGTTTTCAAACATTTTATTTCGATGTAGATTGACACGGACCGAGAGGTTGCTAGCTTTGTTCATTCAATAATTCACTTCACATATTTTTAGGGCAAGTTCTATATGATATTTTATCATTTTTAAGTTTTTAGTTTAGAATATTTTACTATTTGCACCTTAAATTTATTGCATTTTTTACTATTTTACTATGTATTATTATTTTTCATTAATTGGTTGTTTTCAAACATTCTATTTTAATGTAGTTGATGTGATTAAGAGTTTGCCCGCTTTGTTCATTCTGATAATTCATTTCATACATTTGTATGTCAAGCTCTATTTGATATTTTATCATTTTTATTACATGTATTTTACTATATGTATATAAGGTGACCCTATTTTTTATCATTTTTTTTTATATATGTCAAATTTTTGTTTCTTATTTTTTTAGTTTTACATTCCTTAATTTTTGATATTTCATTTTATATGTGTAAATGTTAATGTTTGTTAGATAACGTGGTCGTATGATAAAAATTAGAATTACTTATTCTTTTTTTTTTTTAGTATGATTCAATGGGGACTAAGTATTGTTCTTGCATTAAACATATTTTATAGATTATTTTTATTATTATTTATTCATACATTGTGGTTGCATTTTTTTTTAATAATAAATTATTTATTAAAATGGCAGACGATGACAATAATTCCATAACACATGGAATTCTCTTCTCTTTTATTTCAATTATTTAATTGAAATCTTTTATTATTTTTACATTATTTATAAGTTCTATGTTTGGATTACGTGAACATGCATGTTTTATGCCGAGCATGTGGAGTTATAATATATGCTTAGCTATGCAATCTTAAAAAATCTCTCTTTCTCTCATGCAATAAATTTCTCATGACTCCCATATCTTTCACTCTCTCTCTCACCCTCCCTCCCTATCTATATCTCTCATAACTCCAATCTTTTCTCTTTCTAAAAATCTCTTTCTCTTTCTCCCCGTATATTTAGATGATTAATATTTAATAGAATCTTATAGGTGAAGATAGGTACATTGACTCTCTTTTTATTATCAAAAAAAATATGCCTATTTTAAAATATCATTTTAAATATCAAAATATATTTCAATAATTCATACTTAATAACACGTGCAACGTACGTGCATACTTCTAGTTGGAACTATTGAAGGAAAAATAACCACTCAATTAGTTCGGAACCGACCACTAGTCGGTTTTGGTTTCGGCCAACTGGTCAGTTATTTAAATTTTTTTTTAAATATATATAATATGGCAAAGATTGGAAATTATTTTAGCCATTAATATTTATTTTTACATTTTTTCATCATGTTTATAAAATTTCATAAACCCCTGGGAGCAAATCGATTCTTTAAAATTCACTTTTCAATTAATTTTTCAACTTTAAGAAAACATTTGGACCGTATTATTTTTAGATGAACCACCTATTTGCATCAATCTTTAAGATGAATGCTTTATACCTCTGGACCGCATATTGTAAAAATACGGTCAAGCCCACATGAAACAATTTTCCTTCTTTAAAAATAATTTTTATATTTTATTAATTTTTTGGTATTTTTTCTATTGTTTTAACACTTTTTTTAGCGCTAGGGACTTACTTGGTTAGAACAGTTGAATCAACCAGTTTATCAATTAAGCCGGTTGAATGGCTCTTAAGCCCATATCCAGTTAACCGTTTCAATTTGATTTTTTTTTACACCGGCTAGAACAAAGGGGAGCAAGCACACAGATGTGCTTGAAACGCAATTTGTGCTTCTCACAGGCACCTTTAGTCCGGGCACAAGTTCGGGTTCACTAGCTGCTTACTATGTTTTTACAAGTTGCGTGGGGCGATGACCATGTGTATAATACATTATCTCGGTATACGACTGTTATTTTGAATTTTGTTGTGACTTTGACCTAACAATTTCATTGATGATTGCGACTGATGAGAAATTAATGACTGTCAAATAGTTATAGTGAATTGGATTATGACTGCCCAAATGAAGCTAATGACTTTTAGAAAAAAATACTCCCTCTTAAAAGAGAACTCAATTTCACTCCCAAAACGACTTTTGCCATGCTCACCATTAAGAACCTAGTCCCTTTTAAGTGAAGGGCAGCTTTGGAGCCGGAAGATTTTCTTGTTCCCATGTATTGAATGCAAAACAAATATGTGATCTTTCATTTTCAGTGATCTTTCACTTTTAGAGGACAAATTTGCCTCAAAAACCTTATCTACACCGATTATTATCAATTTTCTCTCTTCAATTTATGTTCAAATAATCTAACAAAGAGAAATTCACAACCCTTGTTTCACTAACACCCATTGTTTCTAGCAAGGTTGATGCCTTTTATATAAAGAGCGTATATGCTATGCTCCCATTGGAGTATGGTGTACATCTACTCCTTGGTTAAAAGACCTACTTCTGATGGTTTTTTTAATCTAAATTTTCAAGGAGCCCCTAAATATCACTAGATTATTATTCTTAAAGGAAAAAATTGAATTTGAGTTTCTTGATACTTAGATATCACTCTCGAAAAATTGGATGATTTCTATTCAATCTTGAGACATTATATTTTTCAAGGGCATTGTAGGTGCAGTTAGGATTTTTTTTCCTTTTCTTGAGGTTAATTTAAGGCTTGCAGAGGTTACATACCCAAAATATATGGTCCTAAAACTAAACATAAATGGGGTTTTACTGAGGGAGTAAATAGATAGTATACTCCCTCAAGAGTATAATCTTATACAAATTTCCCTTTTATACGATCTTTGATTATCTTAACATAAATAAGATAATCAAATGGCTATTTTAAGTTCCCAAGATATAATTGATAGGCCATAAATATATGAAGGGAATTGTTTTGAACATGACTTCCAAATGGTTTTTTATATGTTGGAACGGCTAAAAGAATTTGGGGACACAAAAGATTGTTCCTAGTTATGTTTTTGGAATGGGTAAGTCTGTCTTCCCCCACTCAATTACTCAAAAAAAATAAAATAAAAATAATATATATATATATTTTTTTTTGGTTTTTTGAAAAAAAAAAAAAAAAATAATATATATATATATATATTTTGGGCGGCGAGACTTTTGTTAACGGTGGTCGCGACAGACTACCAAATCTTTTCCCTTCAAAATTGTGTGACCGACATCCGTGAGGTACTCTGAGGGCATTTGCCTCAATTTCTGGATAAAAAAGAGGGTATTCTCGTAATCTTATTCCCCCGGGTGTTCGAAGCGACGAGAAAGTCCGTGCTGCTCCAATTAATCGCCTCCACAATTTCCCTAACCTCGACCATCGCTGGATACTTCGCCGGGAACACGCCGGGAAAGGTTTCATTGTCAGGGAAACCTCCATAATCCTCGACGGAAAGTTGATATCTCGTTTAAAATCGCCAGAATCTTCGCCAGAAAACGCCATGGGAGTTTCAGACGCTCGGTTTCTTCAGGACCTGGTCCTTTACGCTGCGAGCGCTGCCCTAAGTTGCCTTGTTCTCGTTGCAGGTCTTCGACACCTCGACCCTAACAAGGCGGCTGGCAAGAAAGCTCTGGAACAAAAGAAGGAGATAGCTAAGAGGCTTGGTCGCCCATTAATTCAAACCAGTCCGTATGAGGTAATTTCTCCAAGCCATATTTGAGATTGCTTGTTTGTTTCTCTCTATTTCTCTCTCTAAATTAGCGACAGTAGGATTTTATTGGGCCATTTATGAGACTGATTCTTCATTTATCTTTGTAGGTTTGTGAATCCATGTCTCTAATTGTGTGGTAGTCGCGTTTCACTTGAAGGCATTTGTGAGCTCGCGTCATTTGTTGCTCTATCTAATTCAGTAATAGTGTAGCTTTTTATTATTCTTAATTAAGCTATTTCTGAGATTGATTCTGCAATTCTCCTCCCCTCAAATTCAGAGACACCGGACTCTTTCTTTGCCTTCTTTTGGAAACTTCGGTTATTTGGTGTTAATTTGGGAGCTGATACACTAATGATGGAGAGAAATAGATGGGGTTACCCATTCTTCATTTTCTTTTCCATTTATGTTGATGGTTAACGGTTTTCATGCTCTATGTAATCCTAGCTTTTAATCAACGCTTATGCAAATGTGCAAAAGTGAGATAATGTTGAGCTTTTGTATTAAATGGGATATTGGGTGGCATCTTTTTGACATCTATGGCAAGATTAGGGACAGTAGGGTTTATGATAGCATCTAGGATTAGGGTTTTGATCATCTGGAGCATTTAAGATCAGATAATTTGCTTTTTGATGTTTTCAGAGGCCGACGTGAGAAAACCAAAGGGTTTTTGAAGGGTTTTTGACGGTACTAATGGCTGTGATTTAATTATCCAGGATATTAAAGTTGTTCTACTTGGTCCTTGGGTACAAGCCATGCTTGTTGGGTGTTGGTTGATGTTGCATATGGCTGTATCTTATAAACTATTTTCAGTAATTTACTAGTGTCTGTGGATTGTAAACTCTTTGGTACTCTTTTTTTCCCCTTCAATTCAGTATAAACTGAGGAGAAGAGCTCAAAGTCTCGATGGAGGATTAGACTGGTGAGTGATATGTATAAACCTTAAAATGCTTCACTTGAATGATGGTGACATGTCTTGCTGATGTTGATTCAACTGAGTTTGATATAGAGCATAGAATTATCATGTATTTCTATTCTCAAAAGTGATAGTATATTTTTTTTTGATAACTGTTAACTGTTGTATTGATATGAAGAAAGAGATACAAGGTTATACCAGGAGAATCTAAGTGAGACTCCTGGTAAAAAAGATTTGGTCAAAGGACCGTAAACAAAATGGGGTTATAGAATTGTCTCCTTACATCGTATATGGCATATGTAAAAGAGACATACAAAAGGGAGAGAAAGACAAAGCAAAAATCTGGCAAAGGGGGAAAGCCAGTTGTGGGGGCCGAAGATTAGGAGAACCCAAGCAGAAAGCAACCAAGAAAGATGCACGAGGCTAAGCATCTTCATGGGCTGAGGCTCCATCCTTGGCTAGCAGATAGGCGAACCCGTTCAATGTCCTCGAGATATGAGTCCATGATACTGTCATCTCCCTGCATAGGTAGTTAATCTCATAAAAAATGAAGAAAAGATGCCAGGGTGGGGGCATAGTCCTAGAAGCCCAAGAGATAATGTTTTTTGCATCACCATCGTGATATTATATTTCGATGTTAGAAGGGTTTATGTTAAAATAGGTTTTCACTAATCCACTTATAAGAGAAATAAATTGAATATTCTATAGTTCTTGTTATGGTTGAGACAGTTCCATTTCTATAGTTCTAGGTGTGGCGGAGACCATCCAATTCTATTGTTCTTGTCATGGCTGAGACTATCCTTATGTGTATTCACTTAGAAGTGAAAGTAGTTTCTCGCTGCCATTTCCCTGCTGTTCTGTTATGATAAATTCTACTGCGTCTTAACTCTTAAGATTAGATTGATGTTGAAGCTCTATACTTTCAGTGGGGTGTTTAGGTCAGTGTGGGCAAGGTTCTGGTCTAGCCTTTGGGTTTGGGTTTTTGGGATTCTTTGGGTCAGTGTTTAAAAACACGGCTTGGGCCATGTAATCGGTCCCTTGCATGAGTTGAGTTACTTGGGTGACTTGGCCAAGTCACGCCCAAGCCAAGCCAAGGGCCAAAAGAGCCCCCCCAAAAAAGGGGAAAATGCCAAAAAGATCCCCAAAATTTTTAAAAAAATCTAAAAAGATTATACAAAAAAAAAGTATATAAACCATGAAAAATGGAAAAGTGGATGTTAATGGCTTGACAAATAATCGAAAAAATTCATAAAATTTGGAGAAGTAAAAAGTAGAAATTAGAAAAATAGGAAAAAAAAGGAAATTAGAGGTATACAGTTTATACACAATACTAATTATAAATAAATTATAACTGATTTACTATCAAATACATGAATTTAAATTGGGAAAATGAAATTTACCGTAAATTTTGAGGCTGATCTTCCATACTTCGTGCTCAGAGCAAATTGATGCCTTCAATCTTTAAATCTTCCTCATACCTCTCACATCAACCCCAACCTCCCGAAGCAAAAAAAAAAAAGAAAAAAAGAAAAACCAATTTTAGGTATTGCATCTTGATCTAGGAGACGTGAGCCTATGAAAACTCAGATGAATAGTAAATCCGAATTTTTAATCTTTCAAAATCCTTTTTTATTTTATTTTATTTAGTTAGAAAAGCCTAGGGTTGGATCAATTGATTCAAAGCTCTTCAATAGTTTTCCCAAAATGACCTAAAAAAGTTTAAAGTTTTTTATTCACCACCGCCCCCCCCCCCCCCCCCCCCAAAATAAAATTTTTTTATTCACCCCATAAACTTAAAGTTTTTTGGTTGACTTAGAAGGGTATTTTGATCCAAAATGACCTAAAAAATTCACCCAAGGGGGTCACTGCAAAAGAAATAGTAACAAGGTTTATGGTGTGAATAAAAAAGTGTTGCGGGATCATGCATAGGAAATTTGGGCAAGGGGGGTTTACCTTAGTTTCCCAACTCAAAGATTGATTTAATGTGCAGATCAAGCAAAAATCTAGCTAAGTCTCAAATTTGGGCAAAAATGGGGGACTCTAGGGCTTAGAACTGAAGAGAAAAATATTGAAAAGAGGGAGTGGATGCCGCCCCTTGCCCCCCGCCCCCTGCCCCCTTCCCCCGGCACCCCCACTTCCCAAAAAAAAAAAATAAATAAAAAAACCAATGATTTGTACTTAGAAGTGTGCAATACTTGGATGCAATGTTTTAGAAAATGCTAGGTGGCCAAGGGGGGTACAAGCTGCCCAGTATGGAGTAGAAAGAAAAATGTCTCTATAGTCTTAATAATATAAGTATACTTGTATAACACATATAGATTATAGACTAAATCTATATCAATGGGTGATGCTTAGCTTAGATCAATTTCTTGTAACTTTGAGAAACCTTTCGATCCTATGGAAATCACCAAAAACTAGTTTTTTTTGGGTTTTTCTTTCTAAAATATGCTCTATTGGGGTCTAGGTTTCAAATGAACCTAAAACCCATGATTTTGCCCCTTTTATATTTTAAAAAAAACAAAAAAATGCCTTCAATGAGGGGCATTTCTGCCCCTGGGCGGTGCGCAGGCTTGGGCGATAGGGGCCCGCCTAGGCGGGTTCCCTGGGCGCCCGGACAGCTCGCCTAATTTGGCTGCCTAGGCTTGGGCGATGCGCCCAGGCCTTCTGGACCCCCTAGGTACTGGGTGGTCCACTTTTTAAGTGCTTGGATGTGTACTCTACCCATTTGTACGACTAATGTACAAACTCAGGCGAGACTACAAGGTACCCAAGGGTACCCTGTTATGGCCTCAGCAGCTGAGTGACTTGCTCGAGGTTGAGTCAACTCAAGAGTCTTAGGACACTTATTGTGATTAATTGGTTTAGCTATCGAAGAGTGGCAAGTTGTGCAAATTGATTTGAAAGGAGGGGATGGAAGAAGGTGGTTTGTGATCCTAGCTTTAGGAGGGATATGAGGGAAGAAGATCTTATAGATTTGGTCAATTGATTGGGGATGCCATAGGATATATTCATCTTGAATAGAGTTTTAATGGGTTTGCATGGAGTCGTAGACCTTAGATTCCTAGCATGCTTTCTTTGTTAATTTAGTGTTACGTAGACACTTGGTTTTCTCTTAGAGACACTTGGTTTTCTCTTAGAGTCACTTAGGCAAGGTCAAAATAGGCAGACACTCCTTTGGCACTTCAATTGCATATGTTGACCATATATTATTTTCTAGTATGTGTTTGACACTTCCCATGGAAGTGTCGACTTCAATGATATGCCTTGTCTCTTTAATTATTGTATTAGAAAATATGAAGACAACTATCCCCATTGGAATTTGAACGCATGACCTCTTGAAAGAGTGTAATTCACTATACCAAGTGGACCTTCTAAGTTTAGTGATACTATGACGAAGATTAATGTGTTTTTTCGAATAGATTCACTCAACATGTATCTCTGAATGTGTGCGTGTGCGTGTGCATGCGTTCGTGCGTGGTTTCAACAAGACAAAATGAATAATTATTGATAAATAATGCCACCCCCCATTTCAACTTGAACCAAGGGTTTTTTGGATGAATGAAGGCCACTCTGCCAACTAGAGGTTGTGATGATGGTGAATTAAAAGTAAATATTTTATCTATATGTTATAATACAAAAAAAATGAAGCAATGTAGGAAAAAACGGTGTCATTCATGGGGTTCGAACCCGTGACTTTGTGTTTCTTTAAATTTATGAGGGCTCTACTGCCTAAGGCACTCGATTTTGACATTATGAATGTGGAAAATTCATTATATAGCATAAAACTTAGGGGGCAATGTATTGTACAGATTTTTCAGGACGTACTGGCTTTTTTTCCCTCATGCATTAGAAACTTTGACACTTACTCGAAGCCAACACAAGTTAATGACCCAGAAAATGTGGAGCCCAACTGTTGAGAGTGGTAACTATTGGATGTTGATTGCTAAGGACAAATTCCTTATGGGAGACAACTTGAAGCATTGGGTCCTTAAACTTCCATGTGATATTTGAGAAGTTGGAGTACATGGGTAACATCTTTTCGTTCATTGCAATTTTGTGTGATGATATGGGG